ATACAATCCATATCAAAAACCAATAAACGAAGATTAGTATTAATAACAATATTTATTTACTTATTTTATTGATTGATTCATTCATTTATTTATTGATTGATTGATTCATTTATTTACATAACTGTTTATTTATTTATTTATTTATTTTATTTATTTATTTATTTATTTATTTAGTTATTTAGTTATTTAGTTATTTAGTTATTTATTTATTTGCTTCATTTATTTATATATTTTTTATTGATATATATTTACCAAATGATTAATCCAAAACCGAATACAGAAAAAGGACCCTAAAAACAATTCGGTAACTTGAAAAAAATTCAAGAAAATCTAAAAATAATTCACTCTGCGAAATACAATAATTAATAGAATAATCTTCCGGGCAGCTGGCCGGATCCTGAAATTATCTATGGAAACCAAACAAGTTAGGAAAAAAGGTTCGTTAGTTAATTGCTTCAATGTTTTATTCTCATTCAATATATAGAATTCTGTGGACCATTAGCATGGTCCTTTGTCCTCAGTTAGGATTTGAAATATTATTACTTAAGAAGTGGCAGACTTTGGGGTCCTCCAACCACAAGACCCCGCCCCGTGGTGGGAATCAAAAGGGGGTGGGTGGGATGGCAAAATAAAAACAAAAACAAAATTATCCGGCCTCTATCGGTTCCCTGCCCCTACAAAGTCGCGTTCTTCCCAAAAGATTCATACGGTAGAAAGTATCATAAAGAATGCATTCATTTATCAGGATATACACATACATTAATTAAGCTAGCCAGCTCTCCCGCGATCATTCTTTTCACAAGCTCCTAATAATAATAATAATAATAATAACTCTTCCAAAATAAACACGAACAACCACGCAAGAAAAATCAAAGTATCACTGCCCATTTTGACAACAACATAATAACCGCCGCAACCAAACCCCAAGAACGAACGGCACCTCGCCCAAGCTCGCGACACCATCCTTCAAACGTCGCCCCGCGACGCGCCGACTTCCACCGCCCGCCCGTCTCCATCCGAACCGCAAAAAGCAACCTCCATTCCGCGGCCTTCTGACACAAGCATGTCCGACTATAAAAGTAACGTCGACAAACGCGTCCGCGCAAATACGGCGACGCGCCTTTTCAAAAAAAAAAGAAGCAGTAAACAAGAATTTTGTTCACATGCCCGAGCCAAAACACACCATAGGTCCGGTGTGGTATAGTGGCTAGAACAAGCGGCTCTCACCCGCTAGACCCGGGTTCGATCCCCGGCATCGGAAACTTTTTTCCAAAAAAAAAATTTTCCTATTAATATCCGTTGCAGCTCCCACGTCGACGCGTGTGATTTTGAGCTGTATTTTCCTCCCCTTGCAGCGAAGTATTGCCCACCCAAACGTCCATGGTGGATGGCAAGATGGCGGAAAAGACCGATAGGGCTAAGCGTACCGCGCGTGCCTCGGCCTGCATGATAAGAAAAGGTTTCCTCTTTTCCCATTTCCCTCCGGCAATTTTAACGTCGCCGGAGTCTGGAATAAAAACGGCTCCCCATCCATGGAGCGATGCATCCGTGATGATGGTGGCCGATGCCTTTTCCGTGGGATTGATGATTCGCTTACGATTATTCTCGATGATGTGTCACAATCTCTCGCCCAAACCAGCCACTGACGGCGGAAGGTTCGCCGGGGATGTCTCCTGCACAATCTCCCGGTTAAGTGCCGATAATCGGCGTCGCACTGCCTTGATGAAAAAGTAGTAGTCACATAAACGCGTACAAAAAACGTGACGCCATAACCTCCATTTCCGCGATGGTTAAAGAATTGAGCGCCGGCGTGGCGCATACAGAGCGGACAAACTCGTCACTCAGAGATACCGCCCGGTGAGTGTGATCAAACTGCACCCCCAGGAAGGTGTACTGCGTGGCGCCCGATTCGCGTTCCTCCCCATCGTGGCGCGACAACTGTCCGCATTACGAAGCACTTGGGCTTCCCACAATGTCTCGTCGCTTTTCGGCCCTGCAATGCGTATATTATCGATCCAAACGTCGACACGCACCAATGGAGGTGCGGCCCAGAGGCGGTGAACCACCGTCGTCGTCCTCGCAATTGCTGAAGTAATAATAGTCTGGAGAATTTATGGGCCGGCCTTGTATCCCATCGGGAGCCGTGTGAGCTCCACCAGCGTGTCGTCCTCCACGCGGCATCAAAAGGGATGCCGAGTCTCCCGCGGTAAAGAGAAATGAAAAAAGGACGACTTTACATTCAAGCAGGAAGCGGCCTCAGCCATCACACGCGGCAAATAATGAGAAATGTGTAAAAGAGGAACATTCGCCGCGTAAGGGTCGTCTCTGTTCTTGTCGCGTGGCCACGCGATCCATCGTCGTCGTAAGCCGGCGGTTTTCTCCTCAACAAAAAAATACCTTTTTTGTTTTCTACTCTTACCAACATCTCTAGCCACACGATGCCATCTGAGTGCCGAAGAGGTGGTCGAGCAACGACAAAAGTTTCCTGCTATGAAGCAACTGCCATTGAGAGAACTCTCCGAGGCGAAGGTCCTGTTCAACGCCCAGCCGTTGACGCACAGCCAAGGTGCCTGGACATTCTAGAAGCAGATGGTGCAAGGCTTCCTGCGGGCCAATTGGCGTGCTTGTGGAAGCTGGCTGATCCTGCGGCAGCAGAGATCGCCGCATGGCACTGCTGTTTCGATGCCGTGTGGCGTCTGGGTTGTGTGCGCAACGCGTTCTGTGCTGTGCGGTGCTTCTCCGTGTGGGGAAAACCATGTCACAGAAATTGCATTTGAGCTCGGGAAGCGGTGGAGGATGTTCCGGATGAAATGACCGACAGTGACTGACGAGACCCAAGAATCCCGTCAATGTAGAATCACAGTGCGGACATTTCTCCTTCCGAAGGCGTGTGAGGGTCCGTCTCCTTACTGGAGAGACGTCTTCCTCCCTCGCCGACGGGGGGACAGTGTCCGTCCCCGGTGCGGTTGGATCGTTGTTAGAGCGCATATATGCAGACTGTTCCGGTGAGATGTTGCAGAATCGGCATTGGTTCGTGCAGTCTCTCACGGCCCAGTATAGTCGGCCCCAGAGCTCAGATTCCCCGCACCTTGCCCTTGCGAGGTGAACCAGTTCCTGACGGTGTAGAACTTCCTGAGTGATCAGGTCCTTACCGCTGAGATCTGATGGCCTTGTGCCGCAAAGCAAGTAGCGATGAGTGTCTTGACGAAGGGTACTACGCCACTTGTTGGTGAGCTGGGTAGTAAAACATGTTAGCAGATCCGTATGCCATAAAGGTGCGATTCCTTGCTCCGTGTATTGTCCACTTTCCATAGTCTGCGTCGCATACTGATCTGCAAGCTCGTTAGCATGTACTCCGCAATGTCCGCAACAAAACTGCAGGTGCACGGACCAGCCGGCACGCGTCAGTGTCAAGAGACGCTGCCAGATCTGATCCTCCGTCCAGTCTGTCTGACTGAGCGGGCCCTTGTTTAGAGCCGCTAGAAGAGACTGACTGTCCGTAACCACAAGCAGGGTTTTACGCCTGTGGCGGATACGAGGAATCATCAGCTTCTCTAGGGCTAGATGCAGCGCACGGGATTCCGTCCTGTAGCTGCATGGGCGTGCACCGCAGTTTATGCTGGCCTTTTCTATTATCTCCGATGAGTTGAGGGATGAAAGCAGTATTCCAACCCCTGCTGACTTGGGAACGTCGACACCGCCATCGGTCGCAAGTATCCACGAACGATGGCTGTGCAGCGCCAGAGCCTCTTCGCTGACTCCGCGCTTTTCCCTTATCAGCTCTTCTTCGTCAGTTATTGAGTGGTCTATCGGAAGTTCCACACCGATGGTGACCCGGTGAGCGGAGGCCGCAAACCAGGGAGGAATGGAGCTGCGAAAGAACCGCTCTTCGCGTGGTGAGCTCTCGGTGATGCCATAGTCCTTTGTGTATGCGTCTACGAAGGCATATAGCTCGTCCCGAGATAATGGCGAGATGCGGAAACCGGCGCGAGGCGGTGGCTCAGGCGGGGGTCTCCGCATCCAGTCCATCTGACATGCGCGTGTGTTCTCAAATATTGAGAGCCGTGCGCGCAGGCAGAGGACGTGGAGCGGCGGCATATTAGCCTCCAGCAGTGCGGATTCCGGGTCAACAGTGCTCGGAACTCCGCTGACAATGCGTGCTAGAGTTGCGTACGTCTTCTGCATCTCATTCTTCGCTGAATCCGTCGCTACTGCCCATATGAGCTCGCTGCCATAGCGTAATTTGGAAGCACCGTATCCAATGACGAACGTGCGTAGGTCATGTGGAGATGGTCCCGCCTCCTTGTGCGCTATGCAGCGTAGCTGCGATATCCGTTGCGAAGTGGCA